GCGACATCAGATTCATATAGGTGTGCAATATAGTTATCTTCATAATTATTGCCATTGAATCTTAGGCTGGATCTACAATGTGCTCTTTGCTTTCTGCTTTTTGCCCTTCACCTCTTGCCTTTTTCTCTCCGTGCGATTGTTTTATCGATAATCGTGTTTCTTGTCATGTGTTTCCTGTCTCTTTTGAAGTTCGTCAACATTTATCCCGGGTGAAAATAAAGGATAGGGATATAAGAGGCAAAAAGGCAAGGGTGCTAAAAAGTGATGAAGAGCAAAAGACAAAATGCAAAAAACACATTGTTGATCTAGCTTTAACATTATTTGCAACAATAATTTTTCTTTTCTCAGATCAATAATCCAAAGATTTAATGTAAGTAAAGGTACGGGAATAACAGCTGTTCGCCGTGTCGCTAAAGCACTATGTGCAATCTCACAAAACTATATAACGTGGCCCAATGAAAATGAAATTGAGGAAATTGTTAATGGCTTTTCTCGAACAAGTAGCTTTCCTGGTATTATAGGGACCATAGATGGAACACATATAAATATTCCTGCACCAAAAGAAAGTCCAGAATCGTATATTAATCGAAAGGGTCGTCATTCGATTCAACTTCAGGCAATGTTCTAATAATTTTATCTGTACTAATTAGTTATTTAGTAACAAAAATTAAAATTACGTACACATTAATTATATTATACTTCTTATCTATTAAAAACTATATAATGTTTGAACATTACTATTAAGTTTATGTTAATTTATTTATATAGAAATTTTTATTTTTGGTTTAGTCTGTTTGTGACCACAAAATGCGATTTAGACACATTTATGTTGGGAATGCTGGTTCAATTCATGACGCCCGAATATTTCGGTTATCAAGCTTACAACAATATATTAATGATGCAATGAAATTTCCAAATGATACACATATCATTGGAGATGGTGCTTATGGATTACACCAACATCTTTTAGTTCCTTATCCTGATAATGGCCATCTCACAGAGCGTCAAGAGAATTATAACTTTTGCCATTCCTCTGCCAGATTGGTGATAGAAAGAAGCTTTGGTTACCTGAAAACACGCTGGAGAAGTTTATTACATGTCTTGGCAGTGAACGACATGAAGTTTGCTCCATATCATATATTTGCATGCTGTGTGCTGCATAACGTTTGTCTTTTTCAAAATGATGAGCTAGATTTACAAGATCAGCCTATCCTAGTCAGAGAACAACCAGAAATAGGAGAAGAAAGAATTAACAGGAATGTTGAATTTAACAGAGATGCTGCAGTAATAAAAAGAAATAACATAAGTGCAAATTTAAATATGAGATATAATAGGAGATAAGTAAAAATAGGTTTAAAAATGTGACATCAAATTTATATTTACAAACACACATACACATATGTATGTTGATGTGTTACATTTAACAAAAATTAATTTTAATATATATATATATATATATATATATATTGCTAATATAAGAAGTTCCTTTTTTATCGATAATGATCAAATTTTCTGTTCATTACAATTTAAATTTATATGCGAAATAATCTATTCATTATATTACTATGATATCTTGACTGTATATACAACGGATACATGTGTGCAATCATATGCAAGAACACGGCGAACAACTGTCTTAATTATAAAATATTATTATAAAATAATAATTATAAAATATTAATTATAAAATATTGCAGCAAAGGTAATTTTTCGGTACTATTTGTCAGCAGTTGCATGAGTAATATTCATTCATGCATCAGTAAATTATTAATATTTATAATTATTTATTTTTAAAATAAATGTAATTATTTTTTAAAGAATTAACTACTCTGTAGTTTTTGCATTTATTACGCATGCATTTATTTATTTATTGCTTATTTTTTATGTTAATGTAATGCAAAAACTACAGAGTAGTTAATTCTTTAAAAAATAATTACATTTATTTTAAAAATAAATAATTATAAATATTAATAATTTACTGATATAGTACATTTTATTGCAAAAATAGGTCAATCAATATGTAATGTTACATATTGTTACATATACATATATGTATCATATTACAATGCCAGATGTTACTTATATATATGTATCACATTAATCTTTTATAAAAATAAAATTGTAGTTTCATATATTATATCTGATTATACCTAAACATTATTATTATTAAAATAAAAACGTACTCAGCCTTATACATGTCTGTAATTATTACGTTTTAGCTACTTATATATGTATTACATTAATCTTTTATAAAAATAAAATTGTACTTTCATATATTTTATCTGATTATATATCAACATTGTTATTATTGAAATAAAAAAATACTCTGCCTTATATAATACATTATGTGTGTTATAACATTATAACTAAAAGTTTTGCACTTTTTCAGTCTTTAAAATAAAATCACAATTTAAAAAATTAGATGTATATCACAGAGTAATAACAAAAGTAATCAATAAGTACTCATTATTGCTGAAGAAATTTTTGTAGCATATCCAGTAATTTGTCTTGTCGTAACATTGCCTCTTCATGCATTTTTTGTCGTGTGGCAGCATTTTGTTCGAGCATTTTCTCCAACGTGCTACATCTTTTCCCTATAAATATAATGACCATTAACCTAGTTGTTAAATTGTCAATAACAATAATAATTCCTTTATTAAATTATAAGCGTCATGTGTTGATTCTATCGTAAAGTTATTGATCTCGGGGTGAAATCTAAATTTAAAAGAAAACATCCTAAGAACAATATATTCATGTTAAAACTAATACATGGTGCGTATTATTTAACAAAAACTCTCTCTTTCTCTCTATCTATCTCATATTAGAAACCTCTTTTATAATAAAGAACTTTAATAGCTAATAAGAGCCGGTTCTGCCCCGGGAGCTCCGAGGAGGGGTGAGGGGCAGAGGGGGTCCGCGAGGTGGAGGGTCCGCGGGGGAAGCCGCGGGGAGGGGAAAGCCGCGGGGAGGGGGAAATCGCTCAGAACGTTCTCGGTCTGATGCGGGGTCCGCGGGGAGGGAAGCCGCGGAA